TATCGAAGTTTCAATTTTACATAAAATTATAGTATAATTGAGACTTGCGTGTTCAATACTTTAATACTCATATATTATTTTTGTTGGTTTTTCAAGATAATTTATTATTTTTATATATTAACACATGAACACTATGTAATTTAAATAATATAAATATTTAAATATATATATAGTATTAACTTACGTACCTATATTATATTATAAAGTTTTTTTTTCAAATAGTTTATGTATGTAAAAATATTATTAAATAAATTTAAATTAAAAACAATCATATATATTTTAAATATATATATATATATAGATAAGTAACTTAGAATAATTGGTATTTGGTATTGAAAAACCTAAAGTATAAATTAGGTAAACGTACCTATTCACCTATATCACCCCACAACAACCTATAACAAGTCGGGGACCACTATACAATGCACAATATACTAAATACATACTAAAATTTATTTTACTAACTGTTTAATATCCACAACAGTTCCGACCCCCCTTGATCAGTACAAACTCCCACTTAGAGATCTAGTTCGGCACCACTGTACCTATCCGATATTAAAATAAGATCCATAACAATTTTAAGTATTGAATGATTATAAAACGGAAGGTCGAATCAATTTCGAACGATATAGGTACGTGGATACTTAATATAATGCCATAGGATAAACAATTAATCATAAGGTTATTTTCTTTATGGTCAAATCTAAAAATGATTAATCATTTATTGTAGACCGTTTTAATATCACCTAGCGTATTATATAATTGTTCAATTTATTTATTTTGAAGTGAACAATATTAAATTATTACATCCTAACCTACCGGCTTCCACTAATAAATTAATAAATTTTTTTTTTTAATAACTGTTAAGTTTCATTAAACATACACCTTTCAAAACTAATAATTACAATTAATTTAATAACAAAATAATATATCATACATTCATACTATTATTATACCTTTAAAATTAATGATTATTTTTATTTTTATTGCTTATAGGTGTTATGTAAATAATTAGCTTCTTTTTACAATTTCAAAAAATAATGCCAATGTAAGTATAGGGAGGGGTACTTATTTTATTATTGTAAAACTAGTTTTCTTCCGCTCTGTAGTAATTACATTTATTTCGATCAATATATATCTACCTAAAAATATAATAGACAATAACATGAGAATCATAAATATTATAAATACAACAAATTACAGTCTGTTCTAGTTTATCTGGATACACTAATTAAATAAGTCAATTTTTTTTTTTAAATTGTACATAGTTAAGTGCTAATATGTATACCTTTGACTTTTGAGAATACGTTTTCAATATATTCTTATTATAGTTAGGTAACAATATTAATATTTTTAATTTCATAATCAGAAGCGGAATACTTTTCTTATATTTTTATGTATAAACCATAAATATCGAATATTGAACAAATATTTTTATTTATTAATAATCATCTATACCTAGCTATAGGTACTTAGTTAAAGAGTAAAATATCAAAGTATACCCTGCTAAAGTAGTGTTCCAGAACTCAGTTCACCATAGGTAACTTTTACAAGTAGTTTACTTCTAATTGTGAAACAATAAATATAGTTTGTCATTTAAAAAATAAATAAAAAAACCAGTATGTTGTGGTAAAAGATATAGTTCAAATAGATTTATTTCAAACTCAAATTTTCGAAAAGCATTTTATTTCAAAAACACAGATATTGACAAAAAATTAGTTTATAACGAGTCAACGAGATGCGTATATTATATAGGTAATATACTAATATATAATACATATCGCCACCCCCTAAGTAAAATGACGTATCTCGGTTTATATTGCATACAAAACGGTATTATGTGAAAATGTATAATGTGATATATCGTAGACAGTTTTCGAAAACTAAAATGGAAATACCATAATTTATACCTATATTATATTATTATTATTTAATATTTTAGAAATTAGAGTGCTTACCTAGGTTATTAACTATATGGGCACTCCGTAAATGCGATGCGGTATTGTTGTTGATATATATATATTATTGTAGAGTATATACGAGTGTGCTGGATCAACCGTCAATCAATCTTCTCGACAAGGTCTAAGACATTTTTGTCGGATTTTACGAGGCGGCGTGGCGGCAGTGAACGGTGAAAATTCGCCATGCGTTTTACGAAATTAAACTCTTCTGTTTTTTTCAACTGTCGAGGAAAACTATAACACGAAACGACTAATGACAGATCAGTCTGGTCTGCGGCTGTGATAACGCGAGGGAACTACTAATATTGAAATATATCACCGTTGTCTTGCCAGCTGCACGTACAATCTACACGGGCGACCACCAAATGTCGCGATGAACGAGTTGCGAACGAGAACTACCAAGTAATAATATATCACGTTGTCTACACCTGCACACACGCACTCACGCACACAATATTAACGAACGACCAGTCTTCGCGACGAACACGTTGCGACTGATCACCGTGTCTCGGTCGTCGCAGCGGCGGACCGCGGTAACTTCGCGCCGCGTTGCCGGTCGGGGCCAATCGCATCCGTCCGCGGACGACGACAGTGCACCGGTGGTCCGCCCCTCGACGATTTTCCCGCGCGACATTTCCGTGAAACTATTTAGTATTATGATAAGGGCAGAGGACATTTAGCTCCAAAAAAGCGCAAAATTTCAAGCACTTTTACACTAAGAAAAAAAAAAAAAAATTAATATTGTGTGGAAAAGTAAAAACTAAATCGTTTTCCATACCTGCTTATATTTGATAAATATTAACAAAATAAATAACATCTAATATAATGTGTATTTATTTATTTAATTAATCTTGCGAAGAAATAATTAAAAAGAGTTGCTTTTTTAAATTATTTGTATATAAACAGAGTAAGAAAAATCAATTTAAATCACTTGAAGATTCGTTTTTGCTATCTCTAGATTGGGATTCATTACCAGCTGGTACCTACTGATTTTTCAATGTTCAATAAATAGAAGACTTCTGGGGATAATTTACACGGAGATTTTTAGACTTGGTTCTTAATGTTGTTATCTTAGAATCAGATGTAAGTCCAGTACCTACTCCAGTCCCTATTTTTGAAAAAAATTTGTACTACACATTTTACTGACGATGATAGAGATACAGTGACGAAGAGGACCAAGAAATTAAATTTAAATTGATATATTATGCATAGCAAAATATAGGGCATGACTTTTTATACATTTAAGATAGTTAAAATCATACCACAGAAATAATTAAAGGTATCCAACCTTCATAATAATTCAACAGCGTGTTTATAACTTATTTTATCTTTCGGTTGTGAGATACAGCACGTTTTTTTGTTTGATGTAAGTATGTAACGAAATGGATAGGTTCAAATTCTAGACATACCAACCTATCTTATTGTTTAATTATTCGTTATTAATTTTATTATTTTTAGTTATATTACTTATTTAATGGTTATAATTATAGTTAATAATATTATACTATTTTGTATACATATTATATACCTTGGTAGTGTACATTATACATTTATACATCGATAACATTTTGGAAAGAATTTAACGATAAGTCTCCTTCACGATAGTTGTAGGTAGGTAAGATGTATCTACCGACTATAATATACCGACTACCCGGCGTGTTCACTATTCACAATTCAAAGTAGAGAAGTAAAGATCAATTTGGTAAAATGTTACTGAAAAACATTTATTTTTGGTACCTATCATGAAAAATTTTCATTTTTAAAAATTCAAAAATGTTTAATTGTTGTGTATAATGTTAATACTGCAGTAATATAAGTATATACTATATATGTATTGGTACTAAATTATCTACATTTCTACCTATGTCCTATATAGTACCTATAAATTAAAGTCTATTTATTTTTATAGTCTTATTTATTAGTAGGTACACACTTCTTAAATGACAAATCAGTAGTGCGAACTTTAAATTTTATATTACACACTTATTGTGTCGGGGTTCACGAAAAAAATAGGCATAATCTTATAATATCGTATTATATACGTTAGTTAATAAACCTATCTTGGAGATAAATACTGGTGCTCCTTCTTCACTAATCATAATTTGTTTTGGGGAATATCTCTCTTTCGAAAATCGAATTCTATCATGGAAAAAATTAGTATATGGTACTGATATTATATTATATCCTACTGATGGAACGTCCGTATAACGTAACCTGTCAGCGTATTTTGCCGTTACCTACCTAATGAAGTAGTTTGTAGGTACCTTAAATACGTACTATACGTAATAACAATAATAAGAAAAACGTGATTCGTTATTTTCAAGGCACCATGATGTAACCGACTTTTGCAGTTGAAGGTGAGGGGGAGCCAAAGTTCCCCAATCGCGCTTAGGCAGTATGATGTTATGTCAAAATACCGGTACAATAAATAATAACATATAATATTATTGTTACATATTATTATAATCACGTGCGTCCCTCGAAGAAATCGTTTTACGATCTGTGAGTATATAGCGACCACTAAGCCAATTCATAATGATTACAATTATTTATGTCTATAGTTTACACTTTACATATACGCACGATTTACATAGGTATAGATACCGTAAACAGCGATTTTTGATTTATTCGATTTGGTGAACGATTCGATATTTTATAATTGTTATTAGTACTTACTATTATATATTTATATTATTATTTTATAGGTATATCAACAAGTTAGTGTAAACCAGACAAGTGTTTGTCTCTTGTGACTTGTATGTACGCGTTTTACGTAGGTTTTACAATAGAAAGAAAAATCAATCAATTGAAACTATCAGCTGCTACATAATATTACTAGCTGGCTATACAAGCTAACTATACCTACTGGCCACAATATAAGCTATAAAAATAACACTACATAATATCGTTTATTTGTTTTTGAAAACAAACCGTTATTTGAAAATATCCACTGTTAAGTGCTTATCGCCAATCGTCCGTATTAGCAAAGTTTGTAATTTTGAGTACTTACGTCGTTCGTTTGTTGCAAAACCTATAGAGATGGACTTGGGAATTTCAACATGCCTGCACCGGTCGTGCGAATGTGCCAGCGAGGGTCATCGATGTGTTGTTGACACACTCGATCTGGCAGTCGATAGTCGGATCAAGGCCGTTTGTCTTCCGTTGAGGCGCAGACATTGTGGTGATAGTTACCAGTCCTCGCCGGAGCTCAATATTGACTCACCGGTGTACTCGAGCCCAGACCTGAGAAGTCTGCAGTCACCCGTGTTGTACGATGGAGCTGTGAATACCGTGGTGGTTGCCGCCGCATCGACGGTGACTAGTTTTCCGGATTTTCCCGTGACTGCAGAGACGAAAGCCGACAGTCTGAAATCGCAGCGACCTCCGAGTGTCCGGTCATCGATCGACGCGCTGGATTTGGCCGGCTGTCCTACGATCCCTCTGGCTGTCGAGCCACCGGTGAGTCTCGAAAATGCCAAGTCGTGCCCAGAGCTGAAAATGCAGTCATCTGTGTACGGTGGAGTTCAGAATACCGTCGCTCCGGAACCTGCAGCGGAAATCCTGGCACGGTCTGAACCCCTGCAGTACACCTGCAGCGAGAGTCGGTGCGTTGTCGACACGCTCGATCTGGCAGTTGATCGCAGGATCACGGGCGTCGGTCTTCCGTTGAGGCGCAGTCATGGTGATGGTTTCCGGTCCTCGCCCGAGCTCAATATAGACTCACCACCGGTGTACTCGCGCCCAGAGCTGAAAAGTCTGCAGTCACCCGTGTTGTACGACGGAGCTGTGAATACCGTCCAGCCTGAACCAGCGGATATGCCACAGAAACCGGCCAGGTCTGAACGCCGCAAGTCCGCGTTTACAAGATCGAGACGGTTCATCTGGAAGGGTTTGGTAAACGCGGCGCGCAGACTTTGTTTCTGCAGTAGCTTTGTGGACATTGAGTAAGCCAAGTTACCACAGTGGTCGCGGCTGTGTAACCGGAAGTCAGTCGCCGATCAACCCGTTCGTTGTTTTTTCTATATTCGTTTCATCTAACTCTATAACTTTATTCGAGTTCGTCGAACCGTAACGTTCGAGTAATTAAGACGTACATTACCCCAGCACCTTCCCATACGATTTTCATATTTTTTTTGTCCTAATATTTAGTATGCAATTAGTATGAATTAGTATGACCATTTTTCAAATTTGTACGCGTTTAGTTTTCGCCCCACAAACAAAAAACTGGGGCGGTGCTGGAGAAACGTGTCCCCAGCACCCCCCACAAGAACCAGTGGCATCACGGGGTTTTTTTCGGTCCCATAATTTATTATGCAAGACGTACGAATTTGTATGACCAAACCTGAATTTTTATGATGTTATTGACCAGTTTTCTAAGCAAAAAGCAAGGAAATGTTTGTGAAAACTGAAATAAAATTAGATTTATGACATTAAACGTAAAAACATTTAATTTGATACCTATTATATAAGTGTAATATCTAATAAAAAATGCTAATTTAAAAAAAAGTTTGTTTTTGTGTATGTTAATTATTTTACTCGAATAAATATTAAACATAATAATCATATTTTTAACAATACATATTTATTCTATGATCCAACTACTCATATACTAATTATATACAGCATTAATCTAAAAATATATTATGCGTACATTTTTATTTTAGCATTGAAGAAAATAGAGATGGAAAATTTGGGGCCCAAAATTGTAAAATGTACTGGGCCCACGAATTGGTAAATCAGGCCCTGTATGTATCATTATATTAACATCTTGATATATTTATATCAATAGATAGATAATAATAATTAGTCACAAATCAATAATATTGGACATTTCTATGAATTATGATATTTAATAGGTATACCTACTTCAGAAAGAAAAAATTTATAAATACATTTTTTGGTATAAAATTAAACATTAAACTTTATATTAATAATTCCGTTGAGAGGACGTTACACTGGTAATTTTCAACGGTAAAAACAAGTCTACGAAAAACAAACAAAACGGTATTAAAAAAAGGTTTTACAGGGAAAATACTTATAATAAAATTTATAGAGATCAATATTTAGAAGGGAACCTCGTGGGCGTTTTTAAAAATATTAAGTTGTAAAAAAGTTACAGTTATTTAAAAAATGAAAAAAAAAAAGGTTTTTGTGCCCTTAATATCGAGCTGTGTATTTAGATTAATACAAAACCCCAATGAGGTTCCCTCCGAAAAATTGTTATCTATAAATCTCATAATAGGTATTTTTTCTCTAAAACCACTTTTTAATGGCTTTTTGTTTGTTTTCCGACAGCATGTTTACGTCGTTCGATTTGATTTTTCATTGCCATCATGTGCTGCCACCTACTTGTCGTTGTGACGGCACGGCGGCCACGAATTCCCCCACTACGCCACTGTCTCGTACCACGGTCGTGGGTCGGTTATCGGTGACGATGGACCGGGAATGGGTAATGCCGAATTGCCGATTATGGACCTATACAATTTATTCTCAAAGTACATAATATGCATTATTAGTACAGCAATAATTCAAGTACCTAGTATCTACTCGTATAAAAAAAAAATCCCATATTTCCCTACAGACTACACGCTTTGAATAAAAATGGTATATTGCTATAACGTAAAGAATTCTTGAATCGGTATTCAAATTAATCCGACCCAATTATTATTAGGTATATAAGTATGACTATTATGAGTTATGAATATCCGGAAATGAATGAGTTACCAATCTACACACCCTATTTTTTATTAATTAGTTATTAGTTATTACGAATTAGGATAGCGGAAGTCACAATATGAGACTATACTATTGTAGCTGCATTTCCAAAAATATATACAAAAATAAATATTCAAGTAGATAGTTACCTATAATTATTATTACAATTATTGTAGGTAATATTTGAATTATCAAAAGTAAACTCTAATACTTTAAATATGTAACAAATTTGTTAAAAATTAGTTTCAAAAAAAAAATAACGAGTTACTTAACTTTAATTTTTAACTCGTTATTGTTCAGCCTTGTATTTTGTATAGGTAGGTACATAAATGCAGGCAACAAAAACATTTGTTTAAAGACACATTTATTTTGTAAAATGTAACTATATTTGTTCAATTGTTCGACAAAATTTTAGTATATATTATTATAAATGAGATGGTCTCGTACAATAGCAACATAATAATATGATGGTAGTAACTATACTATAACTATATAGTGAGGTATGTGAAAGCCGGTTTACGCATAGGTACTTTATAGGTGTAACGAAATAAATAAATAATCTCAATTTCATATTATCATAGCTGAGTATCATATTGTGTATGACCCTTACACGTTTTGGAGGTTTTGTTTTTGAAAACGTGACTATATGCGTCAATGCAATAATAATACAATATGATATAGGTATCTCTTTACTTATAAATTATTGAAAATTTGAATACTTTTCTTGTGATATTATAGAACGTATATTATTATACAAGCGAGAATCCATATCCCAGCCTAAGGCATTTTACAAGTCGCAATATATATATAGTTAATAGTTATAGTAGACATAATATAGGCAAATAATAAATGCAACACCAAGCAATTAATATCATGGTGAACATTTATAATGATTTACGTTCCATACAACTTGATATTATATGGCAGTGAATTGTCTATATGGCTATATTGAATATTTTAATTATCACTGATACTTAAAGGATATACTGATACTACTCAGGATACTTAAGTTCAGGTTACATAAATACAAATTTTGCTACGAGTTTGTAAGCTATTTGTTTTAATATTAAATATACCTCGAAAATTGGTGGTGGGAGGGGGGGGGGGAGCTGTTCGGAAACTGGAAGTGTTAACTCCCTTATTAAGACCCCTTCCAACTTTACTTTTAAACATGCACGTGCACAATGTATATCACACATATCTTAATATATTACACCTTCAGAGGACGTGATATCCGCATGTGTTGTCTCCGTCTTACAAGTGCGTAACATAGCAAATTCTACGCTCAACAGAACACGTGTAGCCCCGTTGGTTTAATAATTATAGTGAATTAACCCCTAAACAAATCTAAAGGTAAGATTATTATCTAGACAACCTTATGGGCTTTTTATTATATTTTAATTTTAAAGCGAGCTATGCGTATTTTAAAATTGTAAATTGTTTGTAGATCTTAAAGTAGGTACTCATAACTCGCTTAAAAATTAAAATATAATAAAAAGCCCATGAGGTTGTCTAGATAATAATCTTACCTTTAGATTTTATAAGAGGTCAATTTACTCTAGTTTATAAATTAACGGAGCTACACTTATATTGCTGACAGTAAAATGTGCTATTATTATGCACTTGTAAGACGGAGATAACACATGCTGGTATCACGTCCTCTCCTCTTAATACATTTCTCCTGAATTTCTTCTACCGGATTTATTATACGTCATTACTCATTAGATACATTTTATGGCAGATGATGACGGTCGTCGAGTTCTATAAATTGTAAAATTATAATCATATATCGCTTTGCATAGAATCTTATTTTTATTCTGATTCAATAACTAAAAAAGCCTGGCCATGACCTTGAAAAGAGATTAATCTGGACGTAGAAAAGAAAACTGAGTTCGAAAATTATCAACTATCAACATGTTGGCTGCTGCTACAATGGCTATATTTCTTAATTTTCTCACTCATTGAACGTTTTTTGAGCTCTGTTAAATTATACAATTATATATTACATGATTTAACAATCGAAAAATATTCGTTCATAATTTTTTCTTCTGTGTCCAAAAATAATCTAATATTAAAGTCGTAAATATTATAACAAGTTACAATAATCTGTTCAAAGTCTTTACCTTATAATTTATTATTTATAAAAGAAATATTATACATTTTCGAAATCTGTTAATTTAATTAAAATTTTTTAATAATAAGCTATAAGTGTTTTTTTACAATTAATTATTCTATAAGAATAAAATGATATATTTCAAAAACACGGCGTTCTGACTAGGTAATTTAAAATCCATCTAAGTATGATATTACCCATGGCGGGCCATCCGAAGCTTTTAATTATAAGAGATGTCATAAGTTTAACTGAGTTAAGCTAATATTTTTCCCTGTGTTAACTTTAAACTTAAGAGTAAAATATAATATTTATTAAATATTAACTTATAGCTTAACTTTCTAAATGTTGACTTGACATAACTTAACTAACTACAGTTATTTTTTCATTAACTTGTCCAAATTTGCAGAATGGAAGTAAAGGTACCTAATATTTGATATAAAAACTTATTAATTACAATTATTAAGTATTAGGTGTTATTAAATACCTCTATCCTCCATTTTGAATTGCATACGATGGAATTGCCTGAATGCAATTTGAACGATTTTCACAATGGAAAACGATGCACCTCTTATTACTCATAATAATAATATTATATTTAATTAACACTTGAGAAAAAAAATTAGATCTGTTAGTAATGCTATACAACAAACGACTGAACGATTGGAGTTAGAAATGTCGATCTCTTCGATGGAATAAATAAGGGAGCGCGCATGCGTATTAAAAACATTATTTATTATTTTTTTTTATTACCTTTGTACATTATTATAGGTCAACGATTATAAAATAAAGAAAAAAAGAAAAAAAAAGAAACAGACATCGTTATCGGTGAATATATGAAAATAATTGGTAATTAGTTAATTATTATTATAATTTTTATGAGGGTTCAAAACCGGTTTCCTTCGTCTCCTAAATCAAGTTAGATTCTTATATATATAGATAGATAATAATTGATAATATATAATTTTTTAAATAATTAAACAGAAGATTAAAACGCCAAATATATTTGCTAAAATAAAGTTAAGTAGGTACCTACTAAAATTGAATGAACTTAATATATTTTTTTTTTTTTACTAATTTTTAGATTCTGAGTGGAGCGAGGAAGGAAGCTAGTGGTTTTACA